ACACTATACATATTTGGTTTTTTTCTCTCATTTGTAGCATTTTTTAAATGTAGTTATTTTTTCTTGCTTTGTCTTTTGCGGATTGGGGGTTTTGATTAGTATATTTTGGTACTGTTTTGTGTTGATTTTAATTTGTCTGTTTCTCTCATTTCTCTTTTCTTCTGCTAACAGCCAAATTCTATTGTCCTCTCTTTCACTCTTCGTTTCAGTTTTTACTTCTATTTTTTCCTCCTCCTCCTTTAAGAACCATCATACCTACACCTCTTTTGCATTTTCTCTGTTCACTTTTTGAAACTGTAAACTCTTTTCTAACTTCCCATCATATTTTCTTTTCTCTTAATTAACTGTATTCTTATCATCTTTTAGAACTAATTGGTTTATATACCATCTGCCCCAACCATTAATACCGTTGCAATTATTACTGCTGTGGATGCCATACTTGACACCTACTGTTTGATTTAATGCCAGATATAATACATGGTTACTTGTTGTTTTTATTAATGGCAACTGCTGACCCTACCATTTCTGAGTTTTGTGTGTGTGTGTGTGTGTGTGTATGTGTGTGTGTATGTGTGTCTGTGTCAATTAACATTGTAGATGTCATAGCAGAAACCAAGTATTTAATTTAATTCTGTATATTATTTGCATTGGTTGTTGCTATTATTTGTTTTCCCCTAATCTGTGAGGTACTGGAAACCTGCAGGGACACTACAAATTCACAGGGTAGAAACTCTGCTGCTGGCAGAATAAAATAGACAATATGATTGATGTATGTATTATATATCAAAATGCATTCTACTGTCATGTATGACAAAAAAATAAATAAATCAATAAAAATTTTAAAAAAACCTCTGCTCTGCACTAAACTCAACCCAAAGACAGTGCCTTGTTCCACACACAAATTAATGACATTCAATCTTCAGCAATACTTTAATACAAAGAACAGAAAAGACAAAAACGCAACTTACAAATGAGCCCCAAGTGGAAACAGCTTAGGGTGGGCTCTCAGGTCCCACCTATGGATATCCATTGCTATGACAGAAAAAGAGTGAAATAACACAAAGGCTGTGGACACTATACCTATGAGGAGATCTCAATCCAGATCACCCTAGGACACTTTAGCAACTGAAAACTGTGCCCTAAAAAATAAAGTAGAAGAAACCACTTCAATTGACGTGCAAGACCAATACCTCTGAAAACATGAAAAAACAGGCAAAAATATCTCCCCCCAAAATCCACAATCCCTCAACAAAGGAATCCACTGAGAGTGAGGTAGACAAAAACATCTAAGGAAGAAATTAAGAGAGTGATTACAGGAGATGAAAGACTGTTTTAATAAATAGAAAAAGTGAAAGAAACCAAGCAGAACTCCTAGAAATTAAAGACAAGATCAATCAAATGACAAACTCACTTGAAAGTATCCATAACAGACTAGATGATATAAAAAAATAGAACCTCTGCCCTTGAAGACAGAACTTCAGGCACTGAAGACAGGCTAGATGATCCTGAATACACAGAAAGCAGCAAAGGAGAAAAAATTATAGAGCATGATCAGAATACAAGAGTCTGGGATAACTTTAAAAGAACAAATCTGAGAATCACTTGGATAGAAAAGAACATGGAGATACAAACTAAAGGCATAAAGAACATTTTCAAGGAGATAGTTACAGAAAACAGAAATGAGATAGACATCTACATACAAGGCTTACAGGACCCCAAAGCGACCTACCCAATGAGAAGCTTGCTGAGACATATCATAATAAAAATGCCTAACATAGAAAACAAGGAAAGAATATTAAAGGCCCCAAGGGAAAAACAATAGGTCACATTTAGAGGCAAACAACAAGACTCACTTCTGATTTCTCTACTTAGATCCTAATATTAAGGAGAGCCTGGAATGAGATATTCCAAATCCTACATGAAAACAACTGTCATCCAAGGTTAGGCCATCAAAACAAAAAGTCAGCAAAGATATCTTCAACCTAAATAGTACTATAAATCAAATGGACCTAATGGACATCTACAGAATATTCCACCCTGAAACAGCTGAATTTACCTTCTCAGCTCTGCATGGAACTTTTTCCAAAACAGATCATATTCTAAGCCACAAATCAAATCTTAGCAAGTATAAAAAAAAATTATATACCTATGTATCCTATCAGATCATAATGGAATGAAACTGAAAATCAACAGCAAGAAAAATAGAAACCACGTTGTTAAACTCATGGAAATTGAACAATACGCTCTTAAATGAAGAGTGTACCAAAGAAGAAATGATAATAGAAATCAAGAAATTCTTAGAAATAAATGAGAACAAAGGCACAACATATCAAAATTTCTGTGACAATATGAAAGCAGTTCTAAGAGGCAAATTTATAGCAATGAATGTCTACATTAAAAAAATCAAAGAGACCCCAAATAAATAAGCTTATGCCCCAGCTTAGAAAAAGAAGAGCAAACTTACCCCTAAACCAGTAGAAGACAGGTAAAAATTAAGATCATCAGAAAAAATATCAATGAAATTGAGAATAACCAAAAAAATACACAGGATCAATGTAATGAAGAGTTAGTTCTTTGAAATGATAAAACTGGCAAACCCTTAACCAAATTAACCAGAAGAAAAGTTAAGAAGCAAATCAAGATGAGAAATAAAAAAGGAGGTATTTGAGAACCCTTTGAAATCCAGAGGGTTATCCGATTCTATTTTGAAAATTTACACTTCAATAAACTGGAAAATCTGGAAGACATGGACATATTTTTAGACACATATGACCTTCCAGGAAGATACATAAATGCTAGATAAAACAATATCAAGTAATGAGATTGAAATAGCAATTAGAAGCCTTCCAAAAGGATCTGATAGCCTGGATCTGATAGTTTCTCAGCTGAGTTTTACCAGATCTTTATAGAAGAACTAACATGTCTTTCTCAAATTATTTCAGGAAAACGAAAGAGAGGGAACATTCCCAAATACGTTTTATCAAGGTAGGATAACCCTGTTACCAAAACCAGACAAAGACACATCAAGAAAAAAAAAACTATAGACCAATATCTCTGATGAACATAGATGCAAAAACCCTAAATAAAATATTAGCATGAAGAAACTAATACACCATGATGACGTGGATTTCATTCCAGGAATGCAAAGTTGATTCAACATAGGCAAAACAGTAATGTGATTCATCAAACAGAATTAAGAACAAAAATTGCATGATCATCTCTATAGATGCAGAAAAGGCCTGTGATATGAATGGATCCAATACTCATTCGTGTTAAAAATGCTGGAGAAGCTAGAGATCAGAGGAACTTACCTCAACATTGTAAAGGCCATTTATGACAAACCCAAAGCCAATATCATACTAAATGGAGAAAAACTAAAAGCATTTCTACTAGATTCAGGAATAAGGCAGGGCTGTACACTCTTACCACTCCTATTCAATACAGTCCTTAAATATTAGCCAGAGCAATCAGGCAAGAAAATAAAAATTAATGAGATTCAAATAGGAAAAGAAGAAGTCAAACTCTCTTGTTTGCTGATGATACGATCCTATATGTAGAAGATCCAAAAAAAAAAAATCCAAGAGAAAACTTCTAGAGCTTACAAATGAATTTAGCAAAGTAACAAGAGAGAAGATCAACACCCATAAATCAATAGCTTTCCTATACTCCAACAATGATTCAATCAAGGAAGAAATCAGGAAAACTATCCAATTCACAGTTATCTAAAAAAAAAAAACTCAAGAATTAGTCTAACCGAGGAGGTAAAAGAGCTCTGTAATCAACATTACAGAACACCAAAGAAAAAAATTGAAAATGACCTTAGAAAATGGAAAGACATCCCATGTTCTTGGATAGGCAGAATTAGTATTATCAAAATGACCATACTATCAAAAGCAATACACAGATTCAATGCAATTTCTGACAAAATACATTCTTTTTTCAGAATTAGAAAAAAACAATTCTTAAATTTGTTTGGAAGAATAAGAGACCCAGAATGGCCAAAGCAATACTAAGCAAGAAAAGTGAAGCAGGAGGCATCACAATACTTGATCTGAAATTGTACTACAGAACTGTACTATAGCCATCTGATAGTTGACAAAGGTACCAAAAACATATCTAGGAGAAAAGATAGCCTTTTAACAAAAGGTGCTGGGATAACTGGATAGCTAAACACAGGAAAATGAAGTTAAACCTCTTTCACCCTGCACAAAACTCAAATTGAAATGGGTCAAAGACTTGGGAATTATACCAGAAATCTTACAACTGCTAGAAGAAAACACAGGGTCAACATGCCATCATATCAGTGGTGGCACAGACTTCTTAAGACCCCCAAAAGCACAAGAAGTAAAATCAACAATCAATAAGTGGAATAGCCTTAAACTAAAAACCTTCTGCACAGCTAAGGAAACAAGAGCATGAAGAGAGAGCCTATAGAATGGGAGAAAATCTTGGCCAGCTACTCCTCTGATAGGGGATTAATATACAGAATATACAAAGAACTAAACAACCTTAGCACTAAAAAAGCAAATAACTCAATCAATAAATGGGCAGAAGAACTAAACAGAAATCAATAAACACATGAAAATATGTCAACATGACTAGCAATCAGGGAAATGCAAATCAAAACTACATTAAGATTCCATCTCACTCCAGTCAGAATGGCAAGGATCAAAAATACAAACAATAATAAATACTGGCTACGTGGTGAGAGAAAGGAACACTTGTCCATTGTTGGTGGGACTACAGACTAATGCAAACACTCTGCAAAGCAGTTTGGAGATCCCTCCAAAACCTAGGGATGAAACCACCATAGGACCCAGCTATTCCCCTCCTGGGTATTCTCCCAGAAAGATCTAAAATTAACATACTACAGTGACACAGCCACATGTTTATAGCAGCACAATTCAGGGTGCAGAAAGAAAACCATACAGATTCTACTCCCCAAACCACTCAAGCCAGATGATGGACCACAGGTGGGAAAAGAGCACAGGGACACTTACGTGCAGCTACGGTCATACAGCGTCTATGGTCGTATAAGCATGTCCTGAGCTTCGAGCACTCAAATGTGTTTTCAGCCACACATTCATGGCACTGCACGTTGAAGGTCCCTGAGGGAGGGAAAGCAGGCACTGGCCTTCTGCCCCAACGTATCCTTCCACCCATTACCATCTCGTCTTCCCCCATGCAGTAGCTGGCCCTGCCCTCTCTCCCAAAGACTTGCCTGAGCCTGCACAGCTTGGTCTCAATGCAGTCCCAGCCTGGCCAAGACCTGCTCCCAGGAGGGAAGCCAGGCCAACCTAGGAGCCTTCCCTCTTCTCAGGAAGACATGCGGGGACCATGAGCTCTGCAGAGGGGCCCACCTCTCCAAGGAAGTCTGGACGCTCCCCTAAGAAGCCAGCAGGTTCCTGGATTTCCTTGGACACTGCTGTCCTCTCTTGCTGTCCCTAATGGGCAGGGTCACCTCCAAGCTCCCCCTCAGGTCTCCGGGTCAGCTGCTCTTTGAGGGAAGCCATCCTTCCTCCTTTCTCTCCCCTGCACACCAACACAGCCCAATTGGCCCTCAATTCTCCCCAACAACACTGACAATGCACACCACAGCTAGCTCAGATGGCCAAATTCCTGCCACGTCCTCCTGGGACCCCGGGCCACTCTAGGAGAATCCATATGCCCTCCATGTCTCAGAAGAGATGATACTTACAAGTAGCTGGAACAGCTTTGGTCACGTTGGTAAAATTGGATTCCACAAGTGGGAGCCCCACAAAGAGGAGCAGGAACAAGGGGAGCATCATATAGGGCAGAAGCTTGGACCTGAAAGTGAAGAGACCCACAGCCAGTCAGCGAGAAGCCGGCTCCCAGCTCCACTTCACGCCCCCAGCATCAACCACCACAGGAGTCTCCCCCCTCCCGCCTTCCTCACAGGCCCTCCTCCCCCCAGAACTGGAACCTATCAGAAGAATCAAACGGATATTCCTAAACCAAGAGAAGCAAAATATTTGAAATTTAAAATTCACCTGGACGCCACTAACAGCCCACTGGACTCGGAAAGAGGAAACAACAAACGTGATACAGGCCTATGGAAAGTGTCCACACGCTAGCCAGAAAGAGAAAAAGGCCAGAGTGCATAGCAGCTGAAAGAGGAGCTGCATCCACGCGAGTCAGCTGTGTAGCCCACACGCAACTGGATTTGCACAAGGAGAAGACACACATGGAGGGAGCAAGCGTTGGAAGGACCACTGGTACCGAAATGTCCCAATAGCAGTGAAAAGCATCACCCCACAAACTTAAAAAGGGCCAGTGGATCCACAGCAGAGGAAGTCCAAGGAAACCCAGTCTCAGACACATCACACACAAACCACCAAAAACTACCGGAAAAGGTGAGGGGCCGCGGGAGGGGGAAACAGCAATAATTCAAGTGGTGGCTGACCTTCCCACACAGACCGGCAAGTGCTGAGCAAGCACGCCAGAGTCTGCAAGGGCAAACAGACTTCAAAAGAGAAGGCCAGATGGAGACCGCGACCGAGCAGGAGTGAGGGGCAGGAGTGAGGGGCAGGAGTGAGGGGCAGGAGTGAGGGGCAGGAGTGAGGGGCAGGGCTCCCGGGCGACCTGCTACGGGAAATCTTGAGATGTGACCCTTTACAAGGACCCCCAAAGTCAGCCAGAGCCCAAGCAGAGGAGGCTTCAGAATGGAGAGGAGTGGCTGGGGCCAGCTTCCAGGCCCAAAGGATTACAGAGGTCAAAAGGCAGGCTGGTGACAGCAGAAAGCGACGGTGGAACCCTGAGTCCACTTTCTGACTTCAGCTACAGGAAGCCAGAAGCTGCTCACCAAAGGAGAACTAGGACTTCCTCCTGCTTGGAATTGAAGGGGACACTTCAAATAATAGGTGGCCCAGATCATGCCCAGTGGAAGGCATGCCTGCTGTGCACTGGCTGGTGGTGAAAGCAGGAGGGACTCAGAGCTAGCCTCAGCAGCCTGGAGGGCCCAGAGGGAAGAGCAGGCTCAGAGGCGTGCTGGTGGGCCAGTTTCCACTTGAACAGGCATCAGTGGACCCCATAATGAGCCAGGAAGGGAAAGGGGAAAGATCAGGTGGCCACTGAGAAGTCCAGGCTTTTGGAGATCCAGGATGATTTGGGCCACAGGAGAGGAGGCCAAGGTCAGGAGCAGAAGCTCCCGTGGGTGGGGCTCCAGGAGGAGGGGGCCTCTGCCCACTGAGGGAAGGGACTAAAGGACAAAGGGGTGAGGAGAGGGAGAAGCCATGAGAAAGTGGGCTCAATCCTGAAGGAGGGTCTCGGGACTAGAGTGTCTCTGAGGTGACACATTGGAACACTGAGAGCATCTGCTCAAAGGGGTCTAGGGGACCGCAGGTCTAAGGACTAGAGTGGACCCCTGTGTGGGTCCAGGGCCCTGGGTGTGTCAGGGGTTTCTGAGAGGAGGCTCGCCAGGCCTGGAGGGTGGGAAGGAACCAGAAGAGCCTGGATGGGGTCCAGGGGAGGACAGGAGGGGGAGGTCCTACAGGAGAGAGGATGCGGCCTTGGGAGCGGGCAGTGTGGGCCAGCAGAATCCTGGGGACCAAGACAGGGGTTCTGGAAGGCCAGGGGCTGGGGAGCGGGTCTGATGAGGGGAGTGGGGGAGAAGGGTCCATGGGTCAAGGGGTGCCACGAGGGAGGAGGGTCCAGGTGAGGTGTCACGAGGGGGCACGTCTGGAGAGGAAGGGCTCTGGGAAGAGGGTGTGAGGCGCAGAGGGCCCAGGAAGGAGGAGTCCCGTGGGGGAGTCTGCTGGGAAGAGGGGAGCGGAGGGAGGTCAGGAGGGGAAGGGCCCAGGGAGCAGGGTGCCCAGAGGGGAGGGTCTGGCGGGGCAGGGTGGCGGACGAGGGTCGGGAGCATCGCGGTCCGGGGCTGCAGGCCCAGCTGGGTCAGGGCAGGCGGCCTGGGGCCAGGGGCGCGCGGCCGCTCAGCCCTCGTGAGGGCCGCGGGCCTGTCGCTCCGCGCCTGGCACCCTCCAGTCAGAAGGCGCGCTGCCCTTCTGGAACACTCCACAGGGCTCACTGTCCCTGCCCAAGCCGTCTCCCCCTGGAAGCGGCAGCAGACGCCGGGCCCACCTCTGGAACCTTCCAGGAAGAAGCCTCCACCCCGCCCAGGAACGTTCTGCGCAAGCCGCCCAACTTCTGGAACCTTCCTCCCCTAAGTGGGCCTCTGCTCGGCTCTTCCGGCTGGAAACCACACCGGGTCAGGAACCTTCCGCCCGGAAGTCGGGCCTCCCTCTGCGAACCTTCCCCCGGAAGTCGGCCACCTCTTCAGGAACCTCGCCTCAGAAGCCTAGGCTGCCTTGGGAACCTTGGCGCAGGCAGCTGTGCCCCTCGGGGAGCTTCCTACCGGAAGTCGCAGCCCCCTAACTCTCCGGGCGTGGCCTGGAACGTGTTGGTTCCGGGATCCTCCTCAGCCTTCCCGCGAGGTCACCTCTCAGGCTTCTGTCCTGGTGTTCCTGGCTGTTCACTGGGTGGAACGTTCTGGAAGGCCAGGCTGGGCTCTGCCTTCTTCGACATCCTCCTCACCTGCAGATGCTCTCTTGAGATTATAGGTCCCCAAAAAGGGGCTCAACTGCAGCCACCCTCCCCGGATGCGGGACCTTGACCTGGCACCTCTGGCTCAGCGTCCTGACCCAGGACCCGGCCTTCTCCACGTGGGGAAATTCAGTATTGAGCTGGTGGAACTCAGTATTTAGCTTCAGGTGGGACATGGTTGGAGGGAAAGTCCAAGTAGCTGGCAGGAGTACGGGCAGACGGGTTGGAGGGAGGGTCTGGCCGCCAGAGACCGACTGCAGGCTCAGGGACTCCACCCTGGGCCCCTGGCCTTGGGAGCGAGGCAGGTGGATGATAAAGGTAAGGTTCTTTAAACAACCCAACAGCAAACAGTGAAGTAGCCAACCAGTGAGTGCCTGTTAAGGACCTTCTTAATTGCTGTTCTGCTGGGTCAGCTCCTACCCTTGGGCAGTAATCTTGCACCTGTGCCTCAGGGATGAAGGCGGACCAGAGGGTCTGTTCCACATGCCTGCTTTGGTTTTGATTGCTTCTGCACATGGAAGTAAAAATTCTTGCCCTGATGACAGAGCTGATTGGTCTCTGAGTAATTATTTTGGCTTGTGGAGTGTGGAGGAGTTCAGGACCCCTGTTATTGCCTACATCCAGGACCCCTGACTTCTCAACCCAAAGACCCTTCTCCAGGGTCAAGGAATTCTTGGTGGAGACCTTGAGGCCTTCTCTCGCAGCCCCTGCTCCTCAGTCACTGAGTGCCTCCCCACCACAAGGAATAGCCCTGGTCAGGTGGGCAAAGCCTGAAGCAGCCCCAACCCCCACCCCTGTCTCTCTTCCTTAAGTAGCAGTGAGTTGTGAGTGGACACTGCTTCCCCAGATCCCACTCATGGGCATGTTAGAGACGAGACCTGCCTCAGTTTCCCTTGAGTTCCTGGGATTTTGTCTGAGCCTCATGCAGAGAGGTGGGAGAGCTGGCTTGTGGAGTTTTCTGTCAAAGGAGTGGCCTGCCCTCAACCTCCCCCTTTCTCTGCCTTGGCTGAGCTCCCTGACCTCACCCCACACACCTGTCCTTTCCTGGCCACTGGCTTATAATCAACCAATAAGGAGAAAAAGTTTATTTTGGCAAAAAAAAAAACAAAAACTAATAAAGTAATTGATCCACAAGTGGGGTTATTGTTGTGGTTAACCTGATCATGTGGTTCAGAAGCATTAGAAACTGATTTGTGGGAGAAGTTTGGAAAATTTGGAAATGCAGGATAGAGGAGACTTAGAATATTGTAATCAGAGCTTGGTGAGTGATTTTTGTGGGAACTCAGAAGACCAGAATGCCTGTGGACAGTAAAGACTGGGCTCAGGCAGCATCAGAGGGAAGGAAGAACTCTCATGGAAATTGGACTAGTGGATGTTTGTGTTACATTCTGGCAAATTAATTTTCTATGTTTTGCCCAGGTCCTGAGACTTTTTAGGAAATTGAATTTAAAGGTGATGCACTAAATAACCTGGTGAAGGAAATTTTAAGGCAGCACAACATTCAGGCAGTCTCATGGACATTGCAACTTTTAGCCAAGTTAACTGTGATAATCAGGAGCAGAAATCAGAGGGGAGAGATTTGAAACACTTGCAAGGGCCAGAAAAATGCATATAAAATGGAGCCAATGGAGGTTGTTGAAGAGATTGCAGCCATTAAAAGATGCTAAGCACTTTATAGAGAGAAAATAGGAAAGATGGTTTGAGGGCATGTTTGGAATTGGCAAGACCACACCCATCTCAGTCTCAAGGGTGTAAAAATAAATTTTTGAGGAAAGGCCATGGGGCACCATGCTTTCACAGGTTGTTTCACCATGCATAACCACCCCGCTCTCAGGGGCTGCTGCAGCTGTGGTCTCTGGAGTCTTGGATACTGCCCGTGATTGTGGCAGACCTTGGCATCAACCAGGTAGTGCTGGCTTTTCAGGAATGCAGAATGCTGGAGTTAGGGAGTCATGGAGGCTTCCATGTAGATTTCAAAGGTGGCTTTGAAGGCTAAGCAAAGTGTAGCAGGGACAGAATCCCTGTAGAAATTCCCTGAAAAGGCAGTGCATGAAGATGTGAGGAGGAAGCCAAAAGGAGGGAGACCTGCAAGACATGACAGTAACTGGAATGCCTGCAGAGGAAATCTGCCAAAATCAAGTAGAGACACGCCAAGAGAGAGGCCAGGTGGACTGCAACCAGCCAGGTCTTAGAGGCACAGCTACAAAGCCCTTTGGAGAGAACATGGTGCCATGTGCCCCAGAGGTTGCACATGGAACTGCAGGGTTTGTTTGCCCAGCTCAATTTTGGTCTTGTTTTGGTCCTCTTTCTTCTTTCTATGCTCTTTTTCTCCCTTTTAGAAATGTGTTCTCTCTGCCTTTATAGATTAGATATATGTAACTTGTTTTTGATGTTTATGGAGGATCATAGGCAAGAGTTTGCTTTGAGTCTCAGATAAGATTTGAACTTCTGGGTAATGTCAGACTGTTAGGCCTCTTGAAACTGGCCTATATGTATTTTGCATTGTGAGATGGGCATGAGATTTTGGGGGCCTTGGGAAAATATTATAGTTTGGAAATGAGGTGTCCCCAAAAGCTCATGTGTGAGACAATGCAAGAATGTTCAGAAGTGAAATGATTAAATTATAAGACTATAACCTGATCAGTGGATTAATCCACTGAATCAACTGGGTGGTAACAATATACAGGTATGGTGTGGCTGGAGGAAGTAGGTCACTGGGTGCATGACTTTGGGGTTTATATTTTTTCCATGACATACACAACATTCTCTTCCTCTCTCTTTCTCCCTCCCTCCTTCCCTCCCTCCTTTCCTTCTCTTCTTTTCTCCTCTCCTTCTCTCATTTAGCATGTCCTGAGCTTCCTTCCTGCACCATGCCTTCTACCCTGATGTTCTGCCTCACCTCATGCCCAGAGCACCAGAGCCAGCCACCCATGGACAAAGCCTCTGAAACCATAAGCTAAAATAAACTTTTCTCTTTGTAAGTTGTTCTTATTGGGCATTTTGGTCATAGCAACAACAAAAATGATTGATGCACTAGTCAAACCTGCAGTTGGAATTTCAAGGAAAATCTTAGTATGTGCCCACAGACATTTTAAATCTCAGCATTTCCCCCCATTCTTTTCTGTCATAGCCTCAACTACCTAAGAATGTTTTGTTGGTAAGGAAAAAAGGCTTTGGTCTGGACTGTTGAGTATAGCCAGGCTGTCCCATTAAGGTGCACACTAGGAATTTCATATCTGCTGTTTAAGGCTTGGCACCTTTAGAGGGTCATTTTGTGGTACAAGGAGGTATGCCATCATATGAGTCTTAAATAAGCCATTTGGGACTTGAATAGCAGTTTGGAACTTGAATCGCCATTTGCTATTTGTAATCATCAACAAAGTGAAATTCTGAGGACAAAATTTTCCTGGGAATTATATTGACTCATTTTATTTGTTTGTGTTTGAATTTGGAAAAAGATGACAACATGGCCTGTATATCTAAAAATCCATGCAGATTTAATGCAATTGTTTTATGTTTGCTGATCTGACAATTAACAAGCTGAAACTGATAGATGGGTTATTAGATTTACCTACTAAGATAGGAAATCCCATTTCGGAAGAACATATCCCATTCCTAGGTTAGAAGGAAGGAGGAGCAGGTCATCTTGGATGCACATAGGACCTGTTTACTCGCACCTTGATCTAGCCCATCATCCCTTAGGGTTTGGGGGACTTTTTAAAGTTCATTTTATTTATCTGAAACATCTCTCAAGGACAGTCCTTGCTTTGATTCATCAAATGAACCTCTCTCCGAGTCTATCTGTGCTGGCTTTACTTTGAGCTCATGCTTCCCCTCACCCCTCTGGTGGATTCACTTTTTAATTCCACATGCTTAAATTATATACTGTTTTGTGTAATTAAAGGCTTTTGATTTTCTCTTCTCTATCTGAGCTTTTTCTATCTCTAGTTTAAAAAAAAAAAAAGTTATTCAAAGTTTGCTGGTCTGAGTCCCTAAGATGTTAATTTTCTACCTGATCTCAACTTAGAATGAAAATTTAACATTTAAAGATTGCTTAAGCCTAGATCACATAACAGTATGGCTATTTTTGTTTTTTAATTTTAATTGATTTATTGTAATTATACATCATAATGCAATTCATTGTTACATATTTGTACAATTTAACAGTATAATTTGGTTGATTACCTTCCTCATTCCCCTCCCTCTTCCCCAGGCCCCCTTCCTCTAATCTCCTGGTCTCCCTTTGATTTTCATAGATCCTTCCTGCTTCTCCTTTTTTTTTTCCTCTCTAGTTTTCTCTCATATGTGGATATGACTTTCTGAGTTTGACTTAGTTCACATAACAATGCTTTCTAGTTCCATCCATTTTCCATTATGGCCTGAATAAAACTCGAATGTGTACATATACCACATTTTCTCTATCCATTTATCTAAGACAATCTGGCTTTTAAAACTGATAAATGGTAAATCCAAGTGTTGAAATTTCTCATGTGCACATTTATATTTATATACTTATGGAGTTTGCTTGCATGGTACCAAATTAGCTCATAGATAAGTTTCACATAACAGAAAACTTTTTAGTTAGTTCAAATGCCTTTTGATTCACATGACTTTAGTAAATCTCTGACAAATAAAGTTAATTTGAACTTGTTGTAATAAGGATATCTTTTAAAATAATAGGAATTTTTTTCTGGCCTGTGAACCAATTG